AGCAAAAAATGAAAGTCACGCCAAAGAGAACGCAACCATGTATAATGCGTGCGAAACAAGCAGAATGAACTAATGCACACCTATTTCTCCCAACAGGGACCGTCAATAAGCAAACAGATCACGATAAACAAGTTGTGAAAGTTCGATCAACCGAGGCGTGAATCTGGATCTACACAACCGGTGAAGAGTAATGAAAAAACCTCGGAATCGATCTCTATGATCAACAAACATACATAAACATGATCTCACCTCGGAGGTGGCATTGATCGGCTCGACCGGTAGCTGCGCATTGGACAGTGAATGGACTGTTCTCCACCTCTACTCCAGCAAACATAACGTGTATCACATGCGGACCGACCATATATGGTTCGTATGTACAAGAGAGTAGACCAGTATCGCTGACATCACCAGAGGCCAAACTAGCGACAGAGGGAACCGCACCATTAGTCACTACAGACTCATTATCTACGGACAATGGTACCACACGGACGGGGACGGATTGACCTTTCGGATCCTGATTGTCAGAAAAATACGATGAAAAGTGTACGGCGAGATCAAACAGGAAATGAAATAAAACCCAGTTCCAAATTTAAAACACCGGAAAATACCGCAACCAGGGGTTATCCTTTTCGTTATCGAAAGCGAGAACTCCAGCTTATTCTTTTCTGAGTCAAAAGCAACTTCATTCGAATTCAGATTTGCTTCGACTTTGGCAATATCTTTTTTTAATGAGCGAAGTAGAATTTTATCTTTTACTCTAATCCTGTTTGACGACATAAAAAGTGGAACGGCTCGTCCTAGTAACAACCCTTCTCCGACATTAAAGTTGCACATCATCGAGCAGTCGATCCATGCATCCTTTTTATCACTGTTGCTTTGAAAGCACAATATCCTTATACTTCCCTTATCATCAGGGAAGGGGTTGTCCATCCAGGGAATCATAGCACTAGACGATTAAAATAAGGATCAAACAGAAAATCTAAAGACATACCGTCAGACCAAGGGTTAAATCACCCATACCCGCATCCCGTGCGTCAACGGTGAACGTAACCGGCAAACTGGCAAGGACTGGACCCTCCACCCCGGGCCCGAGAACCTTTACTCGCTCCGGTTCACAGGATTTGCGAATTTGCACGGCGAATGGTGATCCGGGAACGTGACGTCCATCATACTTCACCTCAATTTGACAAATTCCTTCTGCTTCCGGAGTGTAAGTGATTTTATGATAATGTTGAGGTTGTGATAGGTCTTTCCCTGCAGCGGTCCCCAAGGGTTGAATACTAGCTGCACGCATCTCTGCACCAGGTTTGGGAGTGTACATGACCTGAAATGAAGAATTGCGCATTGTGATCTAGTGATAAAATTTGAAGGTGAGAATCAAACAACCGTCTAATAGACTAAGCCGCTTGGTTTGAACAAAGCAATTCACATTAAAACTTTCTTTCCTTGTCTTGAGTATCATTACAATAAGAATGCTAAAAATAAAATAAGGTTTAAGAGCAAAGGGAGAGCACTAGACACTCAGAGTTGACATGGAAAATTGAAAGTACAAAAATGAGACAGCATTCTCTTTTTGCATTCTGAGAGATATGCATGCCGGTTTGTCGGAATGCGTCGCAACACGAGAGAAGATACAAGACGGAGCATGCTGTTCAATCATCAATAACTAATAAACAACCTTTTACGCAATGAGTGGATAATAGTTCTAGTTCTTCTAACGCATTATCAGTCCTCATAATACCCAAGGGACTCGAGACTGTAGGAGGGAACAACAGAGCTACATTCTGATCACGACGGTGACAGTTTATACGTGGAATTAGAAAAAGACTGTAAGTGGCAATAAAAAACAGTTTCTAATCAGCGCCGGTTTACATTTGCACCACCATACTCCTGATAATCAGAAGAAAAAGTAAGAGATTTTAGGCATCTAGAATTTGAGAGACAGGAAACGATGTCAGCTTGAGATGGGCATTGCTGGCGCCGACAATATGAATCCAATGTTAATTGAGATGTAGCCGGTAATTTGTTATGGATATCTAGAGTACATTTATTCATCAATAGAATCTCTAAGACTATGTACCGATGCCTGATGCTAACTGCAATTTCTCTTGACCGTTTTACGCTGTGTTGTGTAAGGTCGACCGCATATGTTTAACGTGCGTTCTGTTAGTGAGCCTAGAAACGAAACAGAACAGCAGAATACATTCGCTCGTGATGCCTAGTAGAAGACAGGTGTGTAGGGTCGAGCAGTAACACTACTCAAGCCAATAAGCGATTGTTTTCTGATGCACACGAGCAGACATGAAGCATGAACTAGGCCATCTTATCGGGTCGTGTGGAGTATGCAAATGTTATGCAACAAATGTCATTCAAATGAATCTACCTGGAGTCGGGCATCACCAGCTTTTTTCGTATCCACGGTAAAATAGGCCGGCCAACCGGCACGCAGAAGTCCAGACTCCAATCCAGGCCCGTAACATTGGACCTGATTTGGATCCACTTTCGCCTTGACATTCACGTAAAAGGGACTCTCTATTTCCGAATGGGGGAACAAATGTATCACAATTATCAAGAGTTTGTGGATTTCACGATGACGAGAGGACACAAAATCTATGTGGTAAGTACAAAGTGTGACGTATTGCATTTAGTTAGCAACGACACGAACTTTGGTGCCCCCACATGCAACACTGATCTGAGTCTTGATTTACATAAACATGCTACTAGTGCATCAATCGAGTGTTATCTGAGTTCAAATTGTGTCATGTTTTAGTCTACCAGCCCTCATACACAGTACTGAATTCTTCTCTTGTACTCGGGCGATTCGGCAGTATTCATGGACTTATCTTTTTTTTATAAAGATTTTTGTACCGTGATTTGTTTAACATAGAGTCTGAAGTCAGACGTATGCGGAATGTAATTTTACGGTCATAATGAAAGTCTGAATCGCCTTAGGTGTCACTATCGAATGAATATAGGATCAAAACCACCCATTGTAAAATATGTACTAGAAATTAAAATTGAGACGAAATCTTTCTGATAAAGTTTAATCTTATCTTAATGTGATACATTAATAAGGATCAGGTGTGCTAGTGAAGAGGGGTTGTGGCTCTAACGAATATGATATAGACTGATTTCACCCTCACTCGTAGAGAATATACATGGCTTCCAGTTCCGATTTTCGAATCGCAACCGCATGGAGATGTTAAAATTCTGACGGTATTGTCCATGGTGAAGAATTTTATTCACTGAATTGAAATTACACTAATCCACCAGAAATCTAAGTTGTCTTTAAAGGAATAAAACTATTGAATGAGTTGGTTCATTTGAAGACTCGATTCCAAATGTCACCAGGGTGTGCAAACAAGAAGTATTGCGGTAACAGTTGGACATTAGCCTGAACCGGCAAGTCCCACATTCCGCGGGTACTGGTTCATCAATTTTATTGTGCTCAGTAGAAACGTGAGTGACAGACGATCTCTCTGGGTCCTGGTCAAACTGGTTCATACTGCTTGGTTGAACTGCCAAAAATGGATGAGCAAAGCACAGTTATGACAAGTCTGGGTGGATATTTATGCGCATGCGTAATGACAGACGATACCGCATGACTGCGGTTCCGTATCGATCAATAATAGAAATCTGATCAAGCCGTAATCCCGAATGCGCATATCAACTTAGAGGCAATACAAGCGTAGGTGAAACCAAACTATAATCCGATATGGAAATTCTCCGTCACTGAGCGATCCTTTGAGCATACAGAACACTGCACACTGAAGCAGAACTGTCACACCCGGTCATCTAGTGGTACAACAGTAATCTCGAGTGAATGCGATATCAGGTAATATTTATTGCCTACATTCCGATCGATTTTTATCGGTCGGTAGTGAAATAAACTGCATTGAACGGACGGAACTCTAAACATGCTAACCCTAGAAATATTCCAAAACAGTAATATACTGATCAGTTTTCAAAATTAGTGACCATGCACCTTCGTATGGCCGTATTGGCTGATGTCTCTTGGCTGCCTATTTGAATGAAGTAAAGGGAAGACTGGAGTGTTAAAGTGGGTATCAAGATGAAAATGGAGGATTCGTGAAAAACTAAGCTTCCAAGGGCGTTGAATGGATGTACGAACGCCATTGTTAGTTACACTCAGCCATATCACTCATTACCACTAACCACTGACTGTCATGATTCCAACGTCTTCATCCAGGAAGCCTAACTCGGCCTACGTGAGCAAGTCTTTTGCTTGCGGTTTTTATGCCCGCATACCAGATAGAAATTTGACCACCCGATACATTTTAAACCCATCACCAGCCTCGACAAACAATGTTAAACATGGCTGAACCAAAACAATCCTGTAGCAACATTTTACACTTTGAGGTACAAAACTGATGACGAACATGGCTACACTTTAGTATTTTAATCGTCCGGAAAAGCTTGCAACTTGCATGGATTTTCACTTAATAGTGCAATATAGTGAGCATGCTCCAGAACCTATAGTTTTACGTGAGAGAATTTTTACAAACGTAAACCGTTGTTTAGGCAAACGTAGGAAGAAAGGTTTCCTCAAACTACGACAGTAAACGTCAATTAGAGGACAAGTGCATTAACAATGAAGTTGTACTCATTTTATCGCCCAGTTTACCGTAGAAAAATCCAAGCAACCAGAAGATAAATCAAGAATGAGCCATAAAAATGCATCCACCGGAAGCAACTGCAGTAATTTGTTACCAGTCACATTAGTTTTTAAATGATATAGTTTCCTTGACGGAAATCATTTCGCACAGGGTTATTTCAGGTAGCCGAGGGGCTGACAGCAGTTGTTTATTTTGCACATCTCAATATGGTCAACAGATGAGGGGGTGAATTACATAATCAAAAGGACAAACTGTTTGGTTTCGAGAAGCAACAAAAGCAGCCCGGGGACTTGAGGTGACAATTCACACAGAACTGTGGTAGACTGGGTACAGCGGATACAAAGCGGGAACGGTATTTCCTACCCCAGCGTGCACATGACGGTGATCTCAACCGATCCACTAACACCATCCAGAAAGCGAATATAGACTCAATGCAAGCTTATGGACCCGATCGGGAAAAAGGAACGAGCAACGTAACACTGAATTCTGGTAGATTATTGCATTTGGTGTATCAGAGCTACGACAACCAAAGTGTGCACTCGGCATATTATGGGACAATTTGATCTGACTTGATAAGTGTAATGGGTCGATGAGAGCAGACTGGATTGGCGTCTAGGAGATTACAGAGCTTCATTTAATTTGCATAAAGCAACACATGAACCCTTTAATGGGTTCGAATTTGATACAAACCTGTTAGAATGAAAGTCAAAACAATTACGGCTTTAAGTTGATGAACAGAGTCAGTCGATTTAGACAGCTTCGAATAACTGGGCGCAGAGTACCTAGTTCTGGAACGAAACAAACACGATGATATGAAACAAACAAGCTCGGTTAATTTTATTTCATGAAAGGTTCCTAAGGATCTGTAATATAGATCATTTCAGGCATCTTGGATATGGATCTTAGGATCAGAGAGAGAGGTTTAGAGACTGAGCGCATTAAATAGTAGTGCGCATGAATCCACTTATTTTCTCCGCAACCTCAGACCTCAACCTCATTTTTATACCTATATCAGCTTTCTACCTCTTCCTTCCTTTCCTTCATCTAAATGCGCAGCCAAAAGACAGAAATCAAAACAGATGTGAGGAAAGGCAGAGTTCAAGGTTATATAAACTAAAACTGAATTGAAAACTAATTTTGCTCTGTTACTTATTTTCTTTTCTCAGAAGCAAATCCGCTATAGATCGTGAAAACCAAGCGAATTCAGCTTATGTACAGGACGATTAGGACATAAAATGCACTCACTTGGGATGTTCGTATCATTGAACCGCACAAATATGGCGTACGCGCCGGGTTCCGTGGGTGTATAAAATACGGTGCAAGTCCCATCACGATTGTCCTGACACTCGATGGGAGCTTCACTCGGTCCTTCGACGGCGAGACCTAGACCGCCTTGACCAGCCCCAGTAAGATCAACCAGAAATTGTGTTTTCGTCCCAGGAGTGAGGTGTGGGCCATCCTCAAGGCCAGGACCATATGCCTTTACACGGTTTGGATCACAACCCGGCACAACCAGCACGTCAAATGGACTTCCGGGGAGTGGAACTCCCTCATAGCTGAGTTCAACTTGATGCATACCTGGTTGCAGACAAGAGGGTAGGAATGGAACGTAATCAGTAGGCACATCGATCAAGAAAGAGGTAAAAATCTATTACCTCAAGAGAATTGTTGCTAGAAGCTAAATATAGGACTGCGATTAGAAACTAAAGTTGAGAACAAAAACTTCATGAAGAAATGATGGACAACAGAGCACAACCGACTACGAAGGGCGTTGCGATGGAACTAAATTGTGTATGTCTCTTCATTTTTCAACGAGAATCAGCATGACCGATTCCAGCGATAACCTGATGGTTCAACTGACAGGAGGAAAAGGTCAACAGTAGAGAGTAGTTTGTCACATATCAAGACTGTGCAAAAACTAATTCGACTCATAAGGTAAGAGACATTTGAAAAAAGTTAGAATACTCAGACAGACTAAAGGAAAAATTCACCACGCAAACTAATTTGTTGATACATTCCCTCAATCGCTTATCAGGTTTTCATTGCAATCGGGCTAATCGTAATATGAGAAC